TAATGGCGCGATACGAGACTTAAGTTATTAGCACCTACTAGTTGCGATTTCACGATGCCATCCGTATCTGTTGTGTGCATATATTTCATGTTACGGGCAATGTGGAATACCGGACAATGTGTACATTGCCCAGTCAATGTGGTTCTGCCCGGGAAATGTAAGCCACGATTTTTTTTTAACCAACTAATATTATTATTTATTATTATTATAAATTATTATCATTACTTATTTATAGTATAATTTTTTTTTTAAATCAATCATTATTAATTTTATTCGTGTACTATAATACGAATATTTTGATGGAAAAACAAAAAAAATAAATAAATAACAAGTATCATCATTTTATTTTTATAATGTTACCTATTTATTTGAACAAGTTTTAGAAGCATGGCACTTACAATTATATTGCCTGTCTGCTTTTCTATATACTTGATTTTTAAATAGGCAGTACCATAAGTAACAAAAATAAGTTTATACACAATGTTTCAAAAAATTCATACTTTATTGTATTATGAAAAATGAATAAAATGAATAATGATTTTAAAATAAAAAATAAAACTTTTAAATAAATAAAATTTAATTTTTTAATTTTTTTTTTAAATTTTAATATATTAATATTTTATTTTTAAAAAAAATCAATACTATAAATAGATAATAATAATAAAAAATAATATTCTTTGGTTAAAAAAAAATTCGTGGTTTACGTTGCGTATATACACTACGTACATTTTTTTATGACCCTAGTTATACTTCATTCATAATCATAAAGCAATTTTTACTCTTGTAATAATTTTTGTAAATTTGTCTTTTCAATAGAAATTAGACAAAATTAGTATATTTAAATGATATATTATTAAAAAAACGTTTATCAAAGCTAAAAAATAATGATATATAACAAATAATATCAAAATATGTTCGGTAAACATGTAACATTTAGATAATACCTAATAATAAATTAATCACAGCACATCGTTTAACTTAGATGAATGATAACATTCTATCTATATATTACTCTAAGAAATGAAATGAAATAACTAGTCCTTTAGTAATTTGTTGAGATCAGAGAAAAACTGTGGTTAGGCCCTATAAAATTGGTGTTACAAGATTGGAAGCAACTAATTGTAATATTTACGTATTTAACTAATTCAAATCTTTAATATTGGAGTTAAGTTGTATGTGGGGAGGTGACGAATTTTCTAGTAAAGTATGACTCTTAGTAATTTAAATGTATGTCAAGTATTGGTAAATTTACTTTTTGTTGTTGGATGGGAAGTATTTTAGATTTTTGACCTACTAAAGTTGATACACAAAATTAATGAAAGACTAGTTGAAACACTATTCGTAAGCCAATTCCTCACGCAGCAATAGGAAATATAATAATATAAATAATAGTACGTATAAATAATTAATACAAAATATTAAGGATACAGTTGAGGCTTGGTGTAGCGTGGTGATTGGCTGAAGTCCCTAATGGGTGTCAATCATCGGCTGGCGTAGCTAGTATCCGGATGGGTGACCACCTGGGTGTTTAGTGACGAATCCTAGCTCCACATACACAAGTGTTACTCGGATCCAACCGTGACCCCTACAAATGATGCTGTTAGCCATATAGTGCACGGTTTATAGAATCGCTAAAAATTACGATTATTTTAGCCAGTTATTGGCAGTGGAAGGGGAGAAAGTTTATCATCCAGATAATGATCAAAGAATTTCAAAATAAAATTATTTCAATATGTTATTTAGTTGCTTCAAATCTATACATCTTTCTAGAATTTCTACAAAACATATGAAGCTTAAATAATTAATAAAAAGATGTTGCTTTAAGAAAGACCTGAATGTGTGGTCTCCAATTGTTCAAATGCGTATTACAAGTGTGAAACATATCAAATTGTAATTATGCAGTTATCATTCATCTTCGTTGATTCCAAATAATAATTATTAATTATAATTAATTCCAAATAATTACTCTAATATTGAAACTTTCATTGCTAAATGAGATCTGCTCACATTGATGAGCACTTGTAACACGAAGCCAACACATGCTTATAAAATATTAATACTAACTAGTTACTTCTTAAATGTACATCCAATCATACTTTCAAGTTGATGCACATATAAAAGTCTTTATCGCCTTTCGCATATGTTGTATGCTTCAAGTTGTTTCAAGTTGTAATAATTAAACAAAAAAAGTTCAACTTGATAAGCGGACACAAAAATAGAAAACCAAATAAGTATCTTTTTATTCTAAGGGTCCCACTTAACCCTCTGTTAGTCGCGCGCTAAATGGGGGTGATTAAACTAGCACCCCCCACACTGTCCAACTCGCGCGACTATGCTGTTAAGACAGAGGGTTAAATAAGTCATAAAAAGGTTAGTACGCCTAAGGGCTATGGAGAGTTGAAGCTATGGTGATGATAGTAGGCTAGTGGTAGTATACTATCATCCCTGGTCGAGTGCATTGCAAAGATCTTTTCCTACTAACTACCGAGGTATTCGATATTGTATAGGCATAACAATAAAAGAAAATATTTAAATATTACTAAGATAAATTAGAACTTAATTAAGCATCTTAATTTCAAATTTGTATCCACAGTTTCAAAGCCAGTCGGCTAGCGTTATACCAGTACTTATAATTAATAATAACTTAAATACATTTAACACTAATTAGTGATTTGTCTATTACAAAAAATTAATAAAACTAATTTAAAAATTCTAATGTATCAAAAAATAAAACAAAATCTTAATTAAGAAATAATGAGAGTTGACGGTATGAGGAGTTAGTGTGAGGTTATCAGTATTTATTTATTTATTAGTTTTAATTTAATATAAGGTTTAGTGTATTAAAATAATATTGACTTAGAATTCCCAAAATGTTTTCTTCTGACTTCTTTCCACATTGCACATAATCTAATTTGTCTAACTTATTAATTAAGACCAAAACAAAAATACAAATATTGCTATATTTGAATTTTTTGTATACTTTTTCAAAATGTATGCTAGTTACAGTATATTATTTTAATTCACACATTAAACTATTTAAGTAAAAAATAGCTTTAACGTAAATGAGACCTTAGAACTCTTTAACATAATTTCTTGTATCAATAATAACTTTCATTCAATAAACACATTATTTTATTATACTGAGATAAAGTCAATAGAACTCTGATCATATTATTTAGGGTTTTTTTCATAATTAAGCATAAAATAGCATAAAGCTATGAGTTTAGGTTAGTATACTTAAATACTGCAGATATTATAGACTGTAGTCTTCAACGTTTGTTTTTAATGCAAATTTTTTCATAAACTTTTTTTGAATTCTTAAAATTCATTTGCCCGCGGGCGCACATAATCCCCTTCAAATTTTTTTCAATAATTTAACTCAAGTCCATTGTTTTATGTTCTAATTATCGTAAATAAAGCCATGAGTTTAGGAATACTGATATTGTAGACTGCAGTCTTTAATATTTGTTTTTAATGTACATTTTTTTATACATTTTTTAAATTTGATTCTTAAAATTCATTTGCCTGCGGACGCCCATGCACCCCTTCCCATTTTTTTTCTTCAATTATTTAACTATAGATCAATTTTTTAAACCCATTTTTTAAATTTTGTTAACAAGTTAGTACCTCATAAAAATGCATTGTTTCATTATCTAATTATTGACAATGAAGCTATGAGTTTAGGAATACTGATATTGTAGACTGCAGTCTTTAATATTTGTTTTTAATGTACATTTTTTCATACATTTTTTTCATTCATTTTTTTATTTTGATTCATAAAATTAATTTGCCTGCGGGCGCCCATGCACCCCTTCCCATTTTTTAAAAATATTTTTTTTTTTGATTCTTAAAATTCATTTGCCTGCGGGCGCCCATGCCTCCATTCAATTTTTTTTCAAGTATTTAACTATAGTTCAATTTTTTAAACCCAATTTTTAAATTTTGATAACAAGTTAGTACCTCATAAAAATTCATTGTTTCATTATCTAATTATTGACAATAAAGCTATAAGTTTAGGAATAAGGACATTGTAGACTGCAGTATTTAATATTTGTTTTTAATGTACATTTTTTTATACATTTTTTAAATTTGATTCTTAAAATTCATTAGGCCGCGGGCGCCCATGCCCTCTTCACATCTTTATTTTTAAATTTAAATTCTATCTGATATTTTTATAATTTTTTTTTATTTTTTAAAGATATCTGCAGTTCGATGTGTCACTCATCATCTTTTGAATTTCCACTGCTTGAAAAACTTTATGTGGAAATCCTAGATTAAAGTAAGTAAAATAATGCTTCAAATAAGTTTTTTAAGTTGCTTAAACATATATTGAACTAATATATTATAGTTAAAATATTTAGTTTGTACAGATGTTATAGATATTTAAATTTTTTTCACAAATTATTACTTAAAAATAAAAACAAAAAATAAAATAAACTTTTTCAATTCAAAATTACGTATTTCAGTACTTGTAATTATGGTGTATAATGTAGAATATATAATTTATAATGTATAATTACCTTTATATTGTAGACAATTTAGCATAAATAAATAATATTTGGCATAATTTTGATATAATTATCCAGTGACTGCTTGACAACGACTAATGAAAATAGCGCACGTTATATTTCAATACAACCATATTTATATATGTTAATATATAATATTAAATATTTAATATCTATATTCAGTCATGACTGAAGACAAAAATGTTTTGTTTTAACTACGCTTTATCAGTGTTCGTGTTTTCCATAAAATATAAAGTTTTTATTTTTGATTAGTCATAATAAAGCGACTAAAGTATGTAGCAGTTTTGCTTTACCAGTATGCGATCACCCTAAGGCGACCCGGCATTAATACAAATATTTTTTCCTTAGATCATATACCATGGGTAGAGCTATGGTTTAAAATCTTGAATCATAGCTGTTCGTGCCCGAAGTCATCACTGCGCATGAGCAAAGTATATGATCTAAGCATTCAGTACCTACTTATCGTCCTTATCACTATAACACATTATTGTTCCTTCCCCGTCCCGCGCGATCTATTTCATTTCTCACGCAAGCGCAATAAGTACTTCGGGCATGAACAGGTCTGCTTAAAACACGGACTACGCGTGATAGGTATACGCTAATACGCTATAATAGCTCTATCCAGTGTATATTGTGATCCAAGATTTTTTCAAAGATAACTTTAAGGTCTATCAATGGTGATAACAATTTAACATAGATAATATTATCACACATAAACAAATTAAAAGTGATAATAAAAGTATAAACATTTAACACAAATAATATCAATCTTGTATAGTTGAATCCACGGTCTTAGAAGATTTTTATTTAATAATTGATCTAAGGTTGAACCTATATAGCATTCATACCTCATGTCATCATTAAAATTATTGTAAACTATTTTGTTTGTTGAACATTTTATTTTCTAGTTTTCGAATTTTCTGATGTACTCGCAAGACTTGATCACTTGTTTATTGTTCAGTACTAAAGCTAATGATATTATGCTATAATAATCACAAATTATATTTTTAATTTTAGAAATTTTTAGTCATATCACAGAGTATAATATAATCTGTAGCAGTATAAAATATTATAAACCACTAATTTATATTATTTTATAGATTTTAATAATGAATTATATGCACATTGTAGAACCATTAATATAAATACTTTTCTTACTTTCTTGTGCTAAATTGTGTTTGCTACTGGTCATTCAATTTAAATCAACATGTCTGGTAATGATGAATATGTTGATGTTATGACATCCAGGTTAGTTTTTTTTTTATTAATACATTTAATAGGTAATGACAAACTAACAGTAGAAAATAAATACTTATGAAAATAATATATATTATTTGAATGTACTGTTTTAGTCCACCTCTTACAACTAGGACAACCTTACAAAGTTCAGGAATGAAGAAGAAAAAAGTAAGAAATAATAAAGACAATCCTGGGTCAAGTGACGAAGAACGATGGTTAAAAGCCATTGAAACGGGTAAATTGGACGAAGTTGATGATGAGTTAAAGAAAATTAAAAAAAAGGATCCAAAAATGATGACAGCTAGACAAAGAGCAATGTTCGACAGAAAGTCTGATAAGGAATTCACCGAAGAACTGGTTGCATTGCCTTCTGGTTTGGAATTTAAATTGTTTCTATTATTTTAATCAAATGTCTTAACCATTTAATAATTATAGGGTATCGGGAAAAAGTATTAACTCCAGAAATGTTGCAAAAAAAAGCTATTAAATCACAAAAAAGAAAACAACAAGCAGATGAAAAAAGGGAAAAAGATAAAAAACGTACCATGGACAGATTGTTGAAAAAACATGAAAGCAAATCCAAAATAAATGCTAAAGGGCGGATGACAAGAAAGACTGTTAATAATATTATTTACATTAGTAAAAATGACAAACTGTCTCTACTGTTTCCAGAAGGTGTTGAGTTTCCTCTCAAAAAATCTTTAATTAAGTATGTTTAATTGTTCAATAGTAATTTTATACTTTTTTTTTAAAACCTATGAGGTTCAACCTTATGAATTTTTATACTCTATTCTGTTTAAATACATACTATTATTTATTGTGTACAATAAATATTATATATATATCAATTGTATCTTTGTTTAACTAATACTATTTATTGATTTGTTTTAAATAGACCTCCACCTGCTCAAAAAATGTGTGGGGTAGACGGCTGTGAAAATCCTAAGAAATATTCATGTTCTCGAACTGGTGTACCATTATGTAGTTTACAATGTTATCATGCAAATCAATTAAATATTTGGAACACTGTATGCTGAATGCTGATTAAGCATATTTCATATATTATGGTATATACGATATTTATTTATGTGAAAAATACATTAATATGCTTATTAACTATTTAACAATTAAATGCACTCGAACAAAATCAAATAATTAACAAATTTAAATTCAGTATTCTATATAATACAATTATTATTGTATATTAATATTTCCAACAGATGGCCTTGCTGGTGGTATCAGTTTTTTTAATTCGGAGTCAATTTTTCGGTCAACCAACACTTTGATCAAAAATTCACCTTGTTGAAATGGTTTGAAGGTAGCCGGTACTATTACATAGCTACCCAATGTAGACACTACAAATGTTTCGGAGATCACTTGTTTTGCCTTGAATGCTCCTGAACTACCTTCTGGTTCAGTACACAAAAAATACTCAGCTCCTAATGTTTCTTTTTGTTCAAAGTCATTCTAAAAAATATGTTTGTACTATAATCATTTCAAAGTGATAATAATAGTTAATAAATAATAAATAACAGTTAAATTTACTTTGAATAAAAAAAATGCAACGTGTAATGGATTTTTTTTTTGTATTCGTTTTATTTTTAATATTATTTTAATTGTTACAAACAAATTTTCTTCTAAAATTCCTGCAAATTAATAATATGATAAATAATAATATGAAATATTTTTATTATAATATATAGGTAAAGTAACATAGTACCTGTAGGAAATTTGAGCAAATATTGAGGATTAGTTTCAAACATGTCTAAATTATTCCTTGATCCTCCTGCATTTAGACCATATATCCAACTACCATTAATTGTTAATACTTCTGGGAACCCCTAAAAGTGAAATATGAATATTTATGTTATTTTAAATAATTGTAGTGTTATATGTACATTAAAAGTAAAATAAAAAATTGTTGTCTATATACTTGAGAACCATTGTTGTCATCATGTAAAGATATTTTATTGTTTTGTTCTTCACAAACATCCACTTGTTCGACCTAATAAAATATATATTTACTTGTTAATATCAAAATGTATTACAATAGTTAATAGTTTGAATTATATATTATATTTATTTTTAAAAAAGCGGGTAAGTGGATGTCGCTCTGCTGTACATTAGGTCTTTAAGAGGTTGCTGTAATGGATGGTATTAAATTTGAATTCAATAATATCAAATCATTGTATATGAAAAACGATTCTGATCAGAGACGGTATGTCAGTTTAGGATATGTTATATTATTATTACCTATTATTAATATGGTAGCCAGTAAGTTGAATTAATATTATTCTTAAATTATCAGTGATGCTGGAAGAATATTAAATATACCTATGTGAAATTGGGTTGTTTTGGAACTGAATTACAACAAAATGATAACCATTAATCTTTTAAACTCTTTCCAGTCCACCTCTGGTTAAGACTATTTTTCTGTGTCATTTAAACTAACCCATTTCATAGTCAATGCAATCTAAGTTACAAAACTAACTACTATGTTCAACTAATTGAAGTAGTGCATAATTGTAGATAGTTTTCCATCGTAGTAAATAATAATTTATATTTTAGGCACCTACTTACTATTATTTTTTGAACTTGTTTTCGAATCTACTTATAACTTTTCCCTTCATAATATTTGTATTTTTTTTTGTTATTATATAATTTAAACTTTAAAATACCTGTAACCAAAGTATCTGCTTAACTTTTGCCATGCGTAACTCTAAATCAGCCTGTGACTTGGGACGACCAAGGTGTATTGTTACATTTTTCTTACATGCTTCAAGTAGATTTTTATTTTTTAATAAGAATTCACAAACAAGAATGTGAAATGTGTTATTAGATAATTAAAATTATATTTTATTAAATCCCTACTTACTGTCTCTGTCTTACTAGCTCATAACATAGAAAGTATACCTACGTTTATTATATAGTACATACTTAATTATATTAACTAGCTAAAATATTAGAATGAATAGATATTTTATTAAATTTCAAGGTAATTGTAACAACACATTATTTTGTGATATCTTGTTTTAAATATTTTAACTTTAAAACTAGTTAAAAGCATTTTTCAAAAAAAAATACAATTATCATTTTAGTAGGTACCTAGGTATATAATATATTAAATGATTATATATATTATTAGGTGCATGAAAAAAAACATAATACATAACACGCCGCAAAAAAGGGATGGCAAAGACTCTTATTTCTTCTGAGTGTGCACCTATATATCGTATTTGAATTGTAATAGTTTATGTAGATAGATATTTACTAATAATTAATTTTATCCATTTGCTAGACAATTGACGAAGTCAAAAAATTCAGATGTGTGGTAGGTAGGTGGTTTGTCATAATTTAAAAAATTATATTTCTACCTATGATGGCCATAGCAGTAATTCTTAAATTTGATGAACGTACACTGCTATAGCAGTTATTCAAAAACCGTTTATAAAAACATAAATAATAATAATACCACGATTCGTAAAGTAACACCTATTACCCAAAGTTACACCTACTAAATGAAAAGTCAAACCTAAGTATACATATCTAACTTTACAATTAAAATTAGGTCAACTACAATAAATCATATTACTGTGATTTTATGAAGCTAGCTTACGAATTATAGCAAATAGGTTCCTAACTTAAAAGTATTACCTATTCAATTACAATTTTATAAAAATCAATGGACAAAGTTAAAATTCAGCAGTGTCCGATCATCGTACAGGTGATAATTATATTAGGCAAATCTCTGAGAAATACCCCTGTTCAACATACGTGTACGTGTGAATGCTTGAATCAATAAAAAGTTTTTTGTTAAAAAAAATGTTATAAAAGATTGAATTCCATATCAAATAATATCATCTACCCTTGACATCAATTACCGACTACCGTTGGAATAATAATTTAGTAAAAGTTGGTAAAAAAATGAAATATTGTTTTAAACGGTGTACTCATGTAAAAATATATAGTATGGATTTATGTGAAACACAGAAGAACTTTTTAAAAAATTCACCGATGAACTTCAACAATTGTCTATGTTCTTTTAACCATAGTACAAACAAACAAGCAATAATTATTCCTTAAACTATATATCGGTATATTTGGACAAGTTCTAAGTCAAAACTTAAATTTCTCAACTCCTATCATAACAACTTATGAGGAACCTTGTATAAAATTGTATTAACATTTATAGAAATAAAAACTTGAAAATGTCAAATGTTTATGAATAGCCAGTCAAAAATACTTTTAAAATTGTATCATGAATAGACTATTGATAAGATTAACGTTAGGTGAACATTTCAGGTGTCTATACGGTTAATAGGGTATGAATTGCAACAATATAAGAAAATTGTTCTATGAGAATTTGTTAATTTACGGGTGAACATAGTGTTGTTGATACTTGATTTAAAACATGTAGGTATTGTAATTGTAAAAATTAATATTTTGTTTTAGGAATAAAATACTTTTAAAAAATATTCTAAATAGTTGTTCAGAATACTTCTGGGAAAAGTATTTCAAAAGTATTCTGAATAAACATTTTTAAAAATGCATTTCATTCGATCTGAATTTTCTTATTGACAATATTGTTTAAACGTCACATTCAGGTTTATTGATTTTTCAATAATATATAATTTTAAGGTATCTTCTACATTTTTTTCTTACCTCATTTGGAACTTTTGGGATAAAGCAAGTTGTATAAGTATTATAATATATATATATAGGTCGGAGGTCCCTTATATATCATAATTTGCAAAAAAATATATCATATTATAATAGTAATATGACAATATTCATTAGTCATTATTAATCAATAATTATATAATTAATTTACAAAACGAAGTAATTCACCATGACACCTTCTTAAAGATGATTAAGCTTTTGACATGTTTAAAATAATTACCTACTTACTGTTGAAATTTAAAATTCAAAAGAGATGATCGTTTAAATGTTCGTGAATGGTGAATCACTAAAATATATCTATTCTAACTATTCAATAGTTCCCGTTACAATCAGTATGACAATAAGCTGATCTATACGTCAATGTCAATACATTTTTTTATCTTATTAATTATTTTTAATTTATAGGATACAATTTATAAACTCAATATTTGATTGGTATTCTTATTTCTTACATAGGCATAATATCTGTAAAAACGAGCACGTGATAAATTTAATCACTACAAAAACACTCCCCTAACAATCATAAAAATATTTATAGAAATATAAAAATTTTCTTTGAAATATAAGATTTAGGAAAAATCGCCTATAATACGTAAAATTTCAAAAAAGTACCTTTTTATAATATAAAATAAATGAGTAAATTATTCTTTAAAATATAGAAATGAAATTATATAGCCGAAAATACGAAATAAAACGTGTATATTTTGCATGAATGCATATTACGAAGCAAGAATCGAGTTTTAGCTAAGACTAACCCAACCTAACCTGACTTGTGGGAAAACGGGATTAAAGGGGAAAAAATGTAGAACTCATCAACGTGCGTGCTAAAGCTATCTGAGGCAGCAACGCATTTTCTCGTCATTATTTTAAACCCGCGCAGTATTGAGCATCCACCAGTACGCTGCGTGGTAACAGGCTGCAATTGTCGCATCTACTGCAGCCGGACACGGTCGCGGGCATCATCGCCGGCCGCCGATTTACCTGCGTTACTTTGGTGATACGGTGGACGGGAAACCCGGCGTGAAATCCCTCGACTCCGTAATTGTTGTAGTGCGCGAACGCGTCTTCGGCGTGGCGGTCGTCTCCTGCACCGCGCGCAGCCCGGACCCCGCACCGCGTACCGTCCACGTGCCGGCGATCCGACGACGATGACGCGGACGCCGTGGTCGGCGAGTCGGACGACTTGCGATCCGAGTGTCCACATCCCATGGCCGCATGTCCCGCGACTGCGGCGGGCTATCGACATGTGCGGCAGCGGCACACGTACGCGTTTGCTGGCATACCGGCACGCTGCGGTGTTCGCGCAATATTATTTTATACGAAATATGTTATGCTGTGGTCGTGTAACCGCGCTAAAGTCTACCAATCCGCCGCCGCCGCCGCCGCCGTCCGAGTTCCCTCCCACCCGCTGACAACGCCACCGCTAACCACACCGGGCCGCGGTGCACCGCACTCATTTATAATAGACACATCGCGTGTTTCGCCCTCGACACACCTCTTATTTGTGTGTGTTCACGGGGGTTTTTCTGCCATAGGTTCGGACATCGATTTTTCGATGTTTTTCGCGCGGGTATTTTGATACTGTTATACCTATATTGGCTGCATTTATGTGGATTACACATTTTATAAAATTATAACATTATGTATTATATCAGTGCCGTAGCATAGGGGGAGGGGGGAAGCAATGAACCGTTTCCCCCGAGACCAGACCCTCACAATGATGTTAAAAAATATTTATATGATATCAGTCCACGTTTTGTCAGAAAAAAATAAAACCCGAAAATAAATAAGATTTTTGATTTTAGTAGATTTAGTATTTTTGTAGTGATCTAATGATTTAATAAAATATTATATAATAATAAAAATATTTTTTAATTAGTTGCAAAAAACCATTTTTGGGTGAAAATGAGCCAATCTCCGCGTGGTGTCTCCTGGATAACGCTAAAAAAACTCTAAAAAGTGAAATAGAATTCATCTAAACGTTGATACTCAAAAAATGATATGATTTTTTAAAAAAAATGGTGAATACCCAAACGATGTATTCATTTTTGGTGTCTGAAAAAATGTGTACCTAAATGTGTTCCCAATCCTTCTCACAATTCCCATGCAAAAATATTGTTTTGTACCCAAACGTGTTACACCTATTATTTTGACATAATATTTACAGTCTAAAAATGTAGAAAAACTATTTAACATTGATAATATTTATGTCCTAATTATTAGTATTATTTTTTTGAGTTTGTCAGATAATATAACGGTTGTTGGTTATTTTTTGCCTAGACCCCCGCCCACCTCGTTCCAAAATCCCGGTTACACCACTGAATTATATTATTATATATAATATTACATTATATTACGATTATATTATTATATTATATTATTCGTATTATATTACGATTTTTCGGTTTAGCAACTATTTATTATATTGTCATTAGCGTTTCCGTATTGACATGAATATCGGCAGGATAGTCACACATAGATGATATTATACCCGAAGTATTATCGTTTTAACTGGATTTCTGTAAAACGATCATTAGACAAAGGAAAAGTGGATAAAAATTTTTTAATTACTATTCACTAACTATACCTACTCATTTAAGAAAAAAAGTGACCGACAAAACCTGACCACGGAGACGGAGGCGCTTGCACGTGTATGTGTGTTATAATGCCGCTACGTAGTATGTAGTTGTACAAAATTGGAACATATTATATATTGTTTATATCACTTTTGTTTGGTATAATTACTGTTACCTATATTATGTTCTGTAATACAGGTACATATCGTGTAAATTCGTATAACGTTCAACATCAGTGCACGCATGTTGTAAGAATTTCCTGCCCAGCACGCACACCACAGCGCCTTGGTGACGGTGACGTTTAGATATTATTTAGGTATTTTGTATATTATTAAAAATAATATCGTTTTTAGATTTCATGAATACGAAACCCCTTTCCCCGGGTTACCACAAACAAATCAGATTGTCGGCGATTTGCATCTCATGGTTGCACGCATCTATTTTTTCAAACAAAATATTATTTAATTATTATTTATATTATATTTATAATAAGGGTAGGTGTACTGTAGAATTAAGTGTTCCTACCTCTATAGTCGCCGCAATGGGATTATTTTTCGACAAAAACCTTGACCCGTTCTATAATATGATGTGTACGACGGTCAACAATACACGCATATCAAAGGCACACGCTATGACGATCCCAGGATCCACCACTGCCACTTAATATTGTCATCATTACATATTTATACACGTATTGACGTATATGACATAATATGTATTTAGGTGTAACTTTTATAATTCTAGAAGAATTCAAATCCGAAATGTATTTATAATACATAAATATATAAATGTATTTAGTGGTGTATTTCTCTGAATTATACTCAAAGATTTAAATGACACGTATGCATACTACCACAAAAGGTTGCAACTTCCATATATTAAGTTATTAGGTATTGAACACATTTAAAATTTAAATAATATTATAATAATTGGATTATAAAAAAATATTTACTTATATAGTTATATATAAATTATAATTTAAATTATTTCATTCTGAGTACCTTACATTGCATATCCATAAGCATAATATGATGTATACTAAGGTCACATAATTTAAAGTTACTCAAACATGATAAATATCATACTTTTATTATTGCAACAACTAAACAAGGAATGCTTCTAAATACTAGAAAATGAAGCACGAGATCGCAATGTACCTAAATTGCATATTCATAACGCCGTCTTAGAATTACCTCTATTGAATTTCATTTTTTTCTCCCGACTAGTCACTAGTATCACAATAATAAAAAGTACAAACAAAACACGTCTTCGTTTTAATGAGGTAAAATGTATTGTATAGATTTAGAATATTGCTACTAGTAATAGTTAAAAATTAATACAATTATAAAAAGTAGGTATGTCTAAGCATAATGTCTTATCCATATCTAATGCTGATTTTAATTTTGTTTCTAAAATATCTATTTACTATGTTATAATATGTAATGAATTAAGTCGTAATTTTATTTTAATAAAAATTTTACTATAAAACTAATTATACTATCCATGAACTCCGTATATCAGACATGAGCTTACAGCTCAGTTGGTATACGTATCAGTTATTACTTGTGTAATTTATTGTAATTATTTAATTGTAATTGTATTGGCTGAAAAAAATAAAAAAAATAAATATATATTAAACATTATAGATAAACAAAATATACAACATAATGTGTACATGAATGGTTTATTTATTTAATTAATTTTTTCTGAAGGCTATAATATTGTTATATTTCATAATATTAAAACCATTATTAACAACTCTCTGCACTACAGGCCCATAAACATTAAGTTATTACTTGTTTATTTTTGTACATAAAAATATTATGTTTTTATGAGCATGTAGAATAAGGCAGTTAAGTTTTAAAAACAATCGTTTAAATTATGGATATCATAATTTACCACTTATTGGTGGTAATAGATTAAAGGTGGTTATCACGCGCATACCGTTTTTTTTATAGATATATAATAATTATAGTATATTATAACTATATTATAGATTATACAATTGGAAAAAATAGATACTTTAACAATGAATAACCATAAAAGTCATTTTGTTGTAACTTAAAAATACTATTCATGGGTACTTGAAACTTTTGAAATATATAAATACATGATTTTATTTTGCACGGGAGGTCGTAAAAAATTGGCTGAAACCCTGGAACAATAATAATCAGAAAGTAAAATGTGCAGACCGTAGTATTCCGAAAATACCGGACTTCAAAAATCAGAAGTATAAAATCCTAGTCTATAATATTCCGGAACGTAAAATTCCAAAATGTAAAATCCTGGAGCTTAAACATCCGAATAGAAAAATCTCGGAAAATAATATTTTCAAATTTGTTTTCACTATTAATATATTCCTATTTTATTTTTCAATGTCAAAGCATAAAATGTTTTTAAGTATTTTAAATTGAATGTGTAAAATTATAAAAGTTAACTGTAGAAAATGTATTACCTACTATATTATGACATCTCAAATAAACCTATCCACTTAGTCTGGGACTTTCCCTCTATATATACCTACATGATTATATTTTAGATTAGGTATACATCTATAAAGTATTTTTGTTTTGATACAATAATATTGTATTTTCATAAATCATAATGCCTATTGTCCATACTCCCTATTGATTGGTATATCATATAAAATATTTAATGATTAATAGAAAAAGGCAACGACCTTTTTTCCGATCAATTATTTGACCTCTATAAAATTATTGTAAATTATGTAATAAATATGTCAATAATAATAATAATTTAGGTATCGCTTGTTGTGTTTTTGATATACCTTTTTTCGTGACCACGCGATATCATTAAAAGTTAGAAACAACTAAGTTAAGTTTTATAAGACGTTTTTATATTATAAAAATAGGTGGATTCTCGTATCAAATTAATTGTTTGAAAACATTACGACTTATATAAATATAAATTCGTAAAATGATTGTATCGTTCACTGTTCCAAGTTCTATGGCTCTATATATATGTTCCTAAGGGAAGTTCTATTTTGTTCCTGAAAGGATATAGTTCAAATTAGGCAGTTAACGAAAATCCCATGGTAATTTTTAATACATAAAATATTAAAACGTATTCTAGTGAAATTCGGAATTTCTATTTGACTCCCTAAAGTGTTAAACGAGAAGAAATTTGGTATTATCTAACTTGACAACTATGTCATTCATCTACAATACTGACAAAACGTTTCCCTTGTGTGCAGCTGAAGTATCTTAATATAAAATAGCTAAGCATACGCCTCTTAAATGTATTGCTCATTTAGTATGACAAATTGATAAACTATAGTTATTTTATAAATTAGCTATTATCTAGATTATTTAATTTAAATATATCTATTATCTCATACCACGATTAAAGATAGAACTATCTTAGTACTATCTATAGGCGCTATAGCCGTGTCTCATACAGATGGTTAAATTCAAATATATCTATTATCTTATCTATATGGAAGCTATTTAATTATGCCAGTGGTCTCAAAAACCCAGCCCGTGAACCCTTTCGATGTGGCCTGCAATAGTTCAAAACATTTTAATATTAATTATTAATTTTATACATAAATTTTAGTATTCCCTTGAACATCAATAATCATCAATAGCTACCTTATTTATACAGTAATTTATACCAAGAGCTTATTTTGTATAATTTTAATCATAATTTTTGGAGATAAGTAAAAAAAAGCTCTTCGAAAATGTTCCGAATGCGAATCTTTGATGTATAAATAGAGGGCTGGTAATTTGAGTTTGAGACCACTCAAGGGATTGGGAATGTAATCATTTTCATTTTTTCATTTGCTGTCAAATTTCCTGAACACATATCCTCCACGTGCTGGTATAACCGGGAAAGTATTGGTGGCTAGTAGTATTACCCTGATTCTTTAGAATACTGTAAAAAATAAGGTGTAGGGTATACCTAACGTCCTAACTTAACCTGTAGATATTCATATCTTAATTAAAGACTGCTAATTTAATAGCATATCATTATATAAGTAATTTAGATAAAAACATCGAATGAGCAAATTGTAATAAAAGAATATTAATGGCACAACATTGAAATATCTTTTTATGTATTATCATTTTTGTAAAATTTTGATTACAATTAAATAGTTAAACATTCTGAAATACATTTTGATTGTTTTACTGTTTTAGACTTCTAGTAGTAAAAACATTGAATTTATAAAAAATTGAATTCACAGAATTTACGATTAGCACACCCAAAATCATATAAATATCTGATATGATTATTTGACTTAATTACTGGTTATATTAAAGAATAATGTTAGTACAAGGTCTCGGGTTGTTAGATTTTTGCAATGGCTATAAATTATAATTACATAAACCATTGATTCAAGCATTAAATCAAATGTTTTATTTCGGTTAAAATAACGTTTTATAGTGTCTCGAATCTCGATGAAGTTAATAGTCATACTCATAAGACATAAGTATGTATTTTTATTTTTTATGCCATTGAACATACCAATACTGAATTTGAATTTCTTCATGTTGCGTGATGTGATACTATTTCGTACCTATATATTTTTACTTAAAATAAAAATATACTGTATTCAACTACTTAAATTACACACAACTTCGTATATCTACTAGTATAATATACTATATAAACCTAATATATATTTTGCATGGAACAAATTACAGTAAAATAATAGGCTATACCCTTAATAGCCTATAGGTGAGATAGTACATAATATGTTTATGGTATAGGTATAATATATACCATATGTCTATACATACCTATGCACCATGTCTTAAACAATATATAAATATATATATATATATATATTTTATACCGTATCCTACCTACATAGTATATAGCAAATACATAATTTTATTTCGGGGAAGAAAAGGGCTAAAAATAACAACAAATCGATTGATGAAAAAAGGATCACGTTTTTATTGTTGAAAGTTATATTTAAAAAAAACTATGTATGTTGTCGGAAGGTTGAGAATCATGGGCGAGTGGATGTTCAGTAGTGGTAGGCGACCGGGTATGCGGCTTTGTAGGCTGCTGGGAAGTACGATTTCTCGTATTTTCCTGGGTAGTATTTGCCATCGTCATAAGCTGCGTAGCTCGGGTAGGCGGCGTAGCTCGGGTAAGCTGCGTAGCTCGAGTAAGCGGCGTATGGGGTGGCGGCATAGGCAGCTGGTGCGGCGTAGGCAGCAGGAGCGACGTAAGCAGCTGGTGCTGCGTAGGCAGCTGGTGCAGCGTAGGCAGCTGGAGCGGAGTATTTGTAAGCGTAGCTAGCTGGGTAAGCAGAGTATGCTGAGTATGGGTATGCTGGGGCTGCTGCAGAGTAAGCCAAGACCGCTGTAACAAAAAAAATCAGTTAAAATTTGTTTTATCAAATCGAATATACAGAAAATGTGAAAAGTATAGGTACCACTATATAGGTACCTTGTAGTTAGCATTGTGTTCTGTATTAAATAATTATATGTTATATTATTATAAAACTTACGAGCTGGGGCAGCGGCAATGTAGGCGTGTTTCTTTACTCTTGCTCCATCCTCGGCAGGTTTGTTTTCTTCGGCGGACACGGCGTACACGACCAAGGCGATGAATATCTGTCGACAAAAAGAAAAACATAAAGATTATATCAATTGTTAAATACATTTCAATAGTTCATATTTTGTGATAGTCATAAAAATAGTGTGCATCTTAACCACGACGTACGATATTTTATTGACCATAGAAATCGTTTCAGGTAAGTACAACTAAAAATATAATAAGTACTACTAAAATCAATAAATGTGGTCTATGATGCAAATTATCATTTAAATTTTTACCCATTGAACTTTAAAGTATATAATAGTGTCAGTTTAAAATTCAGTAAAAATTCGCCGCTATAACTTGTATCAAATGTACAATATCATATATATATAATAAATTATAATTTCAACATTTTTGGATGAATATCAAATTTATGATATTTGGATCTTTGATGGTAACCAAAAACTTCAACTTCAATGGCTGCTGGGCCGAAATACAAGTTTTTTACATAGTGCGAGAAGCATATAAGACTGTATAGTTTCAAAAGAGTAAAATAGAGGTTAGTCTTCAAAATTCAATTATTTAGAAACAATGGTGAAGTTTAAATTAAAAATATAAAATAGATTGGAAAAATACTATGTGTCTATGTCTACGAAAATACGAAAATCTGCTACCTAGTCGAGGAGTTACAATGCGTCATAAAACGAGTAAGACTCACCAGATTCTTGAAAGAAGCCATTTCTTGTTTGTTGATTTCTTTTTGAGTTGTCTAAGACGAATCTGCAAACTTCAACCTGTGGTCGATGTGTGTACTTGGGATATGAGGAGATGAGTGATGCTAATGCCTGGTGTCGCTGGTCCTTATATATGCGGTCCGGTCTATGGGTCTCCCGTAATTTGAAGGTATGTGGTTCCACCGGCCATTACCTGGAAAGGGCGTTTCCCGTCTCCAAAAGGCCAAAATCCGGATCATGCCGAAAAATTTTGATGAGATACGTGCCGCTTCATCGAACAACGTTCGTTGGCAGCTTGGTGGTTGACCTTGGACGGCAGTGGTAATTGACTTTGAACAGCATAGTAGCGGTTAACCTTGCACCTTGGCCAGGGGGATTTGCACTGTATAAAAATGAATAATATAATAATTGCAACGAAAAAAATATAATATACATAATTAGGCGTTGCCGGACATGGTATGTCTACGTTATAGATGCGAGACTACAACAATCCATGTACGCGAATCTGAACATGATAGCGATGAGTTGCGATTTTAGCCTCAAAAAAATATAAAAGTTTAAAAGTTAGAAATATATTGTGATGTGATGTGGCGTGATTAGAGTCTGATTTATAGTCCGAGGGTGGTGAATACTTATAAGTTATAACCCTCAAAATGTTCATGGATCCTATTTTTTTTCCAGAGGAAATTGTTGTTATGGCAAAACTATTATTGTACAGAGTAATTCACCATGCTCCTCATTTTGTTTCTCTAATAAACTATGTATTCAAATTATAATTTTTGGAATATATATATATATATACTCATAAACTAAATTTTCATATTTTCAAAGATTTTTGTACCTTCTGCATATGTGTATCTTATGGTTATACAAACTTATATTTTTAAAATTATTAGAATTCTATTTTTTCACTGTAAATTACTTATAATAGATCATTTTTGTTAAATGTCGATGTAGTTACCTATCCGAAATTTACGAGTAGTTTCTCAATTATTAAATACTAAGGCGCACGAGGGTATTGGTGCTGCCTAAAAATGGTTTTACAATATTGGATCAAGTATTTATTATACTCAAACCATTTTCATAAATTACAAATTATTATAGATAAATATTTTAACTAACATTTCAAAAATCACCATAGCCTGTAACATATCTTCCAAATCCACGATTATGGGCCTATTATCCTTGCGAGGAAAAGGGGTTTTCATTTGAAAATCAGAAGTTTTATCTCCACGGGACACTGCAAAGTAGAAAAAATCTGAAGAGTTTGAAAATATGTTCTTTAAATTTATTTTAAAAGTCTAAAAATCAGATTCTAAATAACTGCATTATAGAAGAAAAATGGGTGACTGAGTTACCACCAAGCATACTTGAGGAATCACCCGGTATATATCTTATTACATTTTTTTTCAGAAATTGTGTAAAACAATATACATACATAACTAATATAACTTTAATAATAATATAACTCTTCTAAGTTGTTTCTAACCATTAATATTTTTAGGTATCCATTTAAAAAAAACATAACTTCTTTATTAATTATTAATGATTCATTTAGCAAAGAATATTTATAACATACTTAAATATATTATATAAGTATAATTTATTTATATATATGGCTGAAATTAGCTATGTAGAATTTGGAGGTTTATATAGCATCATATTATATTATACACAGTGGATTAATTTTGTAAAAATAAATGTTCTTCTATTTATGAAAGTACAGAATTAATATTTATGAATGTACTGAACACTATAGTCGCCTGGTTGACATTATTGATGGACATAGAGTGTCGTGAAAATGTGGATTAAATTATAAAAATATATAAGATCATTCGTATAAACAACGATGATTGAATAAAAATACAATTAATATACAATACAAGCTTTGCTGTATGGTAGTTATCGGTATGACATCGAAATGAATGTATAAGATTTGAATTCAATATGATAAATCATTGCATACGAAAAACGGTTCTGAGAGGAGATGGTGTGTCATCCCAGCATACTTGTATAAATAGTCAAATTTGAAAATTTTTGTAATTTAAAAATATTATTCTTGAATACCAAAAATTAATTCAGCTGTATTACAAATATCTAATACTAAAATAAATTACGTTAATAAAGCAATAATGTCAGAAAATAAACTTATTGTTGTAGACTGACTATCTACAGAACTTCTTCTCAGAACCGTTTTTCGTATACCTACACTAATTTAATATCACTGAATTCAAATTTAATATATCTGTTACTGTGAGCCCTGTAGAAACCTATACTGTACTAAGTGGTACCCACTTGTCCAGTTTTTTTTTATTACATCATAATCATACGTGTTAGTATTACCAAAGACTTTAAATGTATAACATTTATATTTAAATAATACTTTTGTGGAGACCCAGGTATTTCAAATTGTAAGGAAAGAAAGGGAATCGGGGCTTTGATTGTGCAATTTACATAGTCTCATATTTTACATTTAACACACCCCTTTTTTCGTATATAAAATACTTCAAAACGTTCTTTCAAACCACATTTTGGTTCATAATTAAAAAAAACACAATGGTACATTCTCACAAACCAAGCACTTAGCATACCAATGTGTAGTGTATATTGCATAAATAATATTGTGGGAGCGTGGGATTTTTGAACTAAAATACACTAATATTGTTATTTATTTTCTTTAAAATAATGTTTTTAGCGAAATTAATAAAAATAAAAATCACTTAAGGCCTTAGTTCTCAATCTATTCATAATTATTTTTTCCAGTCTCAAACTAGAACCAAGGTAGTTAGAGGGACTTCTTATTTTTCAATTAGGTACTTATTAAAATGCAATAAAACTTAAGTTGGTAGGATTTTGTTTAACTCATTTTTTATTCATACGCATAAAACACAGATTTTTATAAGTATAATTTGCATAGAGTATTGAATGATAATATTAAATTTATTTTCGTAAATCTAAAATCAAATTTTAATTTTGCTAAATGCTGATACACTAATCTGTGTAACAAAAGTTCTTAAGTTTTATCACAGTTGGTGTATTTTTACTTTTTTATTGTATACTATTGATAAGAAGTAAAGAAAAAAACAAATAATACATACATTAAGAATAAAGCACCAAAAGCTTAATCTCTTTTTCTCTTTAAAATATTTTTAAAAATGATGAATTTCAATATTTTAATATAACACATGAGATATTTAAATTTACAGGTACTTATCAATGCAATTTTTTTTAATTAAGAACATACCATCTATAAGTAAGTCTATACTTACAAGAATTGATGAATTTAAGAGGTGTAGAAGAAATTGAAGAGATGGATATTGAATAGTACAAATTAAAATTAAAGAGGATTTGTGATTTTGCTGAGAGATTTTTAGATTGGCTTGAATTTCGTTGATATTAAATTGTATATCCACATCCAATAGATATTATTGTAGGTCGTAAGTCCAATAGGTTTGAAGAATGAGAATTCAATATACAACTATTAATGTATAATAAATACAATTATTGTGGTATTGCAGATTGAATGTGCCTAAACTAAACAACTTCAAATATTTTAGCTATAAGGCTATAACCTTTAAGTACAACGAATTACACATACAAATTAAAAAAATGACCATTTAAATGTTTGAGGGGTTCAGCCGATGTATCCCCTAACGGGTAATTACAAAAATGTCAGAACGTAAAACGTGAATAGTTGTATAGAATTTGCCAATGCCCTTGATCGACGCGGTCACTGACTTCCAAGCTTGAAACGTAGTGTAATATGTATACATTTCATATGTATCGAATATCGTTATAAATAAAATATTATAATATATGCATTAATGATTATTTTTTTGTTTAACCTCTGGTCTAAATACATACATTTATCAACCATATATATTATATATATATTATATATATATAAAACGTACATAAAAAACGCGTAATACTACTCGTAATTAGAAATTTATAGTTTACATGTAGCCTATATAGCATATTATATATTATAATTTATAATACATAGGGAGTAAATGAAATAGGTCCCTAACAAATGTAATAACTACCTACGCAATAGCCTTTGGTTTAATCAGTATTTTTTTTTTTATGTATCTACAATAATAATATAGGTAATATCTTAATTTTAAAAAAATCTATACTTAGGAATATAAGGTAGTTAATTATTATTTCTGTCAGTTATTTCTTATGTTCAACAGTTACACCCTGTACAATGAGTATATATGCATAATAATATACTAATATGTATATACAATATACATTCCAAATTACTTTTTCAAACATATGTATTATATGTATAATAAATGTATAAATATTTATTAATCTCAACGCAACTTAAAATCCTTAAAAACTGAAACACCCGTTATACATTGTAATCTAGCAGATACGGTCATACGGAACATTAACACTAGGTACCTACAACACTAGCATAAGGCTCATATGATAAATATAAATCCACAATTTTGGACAAGCAAGTAAAAAAGTAATGTTTTCTACATACTTTTCAATTTATTTTATAAACTTAATCCTATATGTATAGCAATATCCTATATATTATAATATACATTTACGTTTAAAAATAACTACATTTTCACGTTTTCAAAAGTGATTATATTTTATCAATTCTGGTTCTCTTCTAATATGCGTACATACATATATATATAAATATATATATTACATTATTAAATGCTATACTAAAGCGATTAAGCAATTAAACACATAATGTTTTTATAATAATATTTTATTTTTGTGTTGACTATAGCGATAGTGGTGATCGGGCGACCATGATCTATGCATGGAGCGACTGTACAAGGTACCTAACGGGTCATCAAATTAAGACCACATAATTAAAATGTATACTAAATTAATTATACAATTATAATTTTTTCTCACAAACCACAAAATATTAAAAAATAAATCAAGAAACTTAATGTTTACATAATAAAGGTTTATTTCACCTTCGTTTATTTCAAATGTAAGATAATTTCGACACGTTAATAACTAATAAGATATTAAGATCTAATTTTAACTTTATACTTTGTAGTTTGAATTATAGGCAGTAGGTAGGAATTATGGAATAAAAATCCTGAGGATAAAATATTAACAACACTGCATTTTTAATT